AAATGCACTATTGTTCTCATGGTCAGAAGACACACAGTAACAAAGTTACTTTGTATACTGTTGTGAATTCAACAACTCGAATGCATCATGATAGGTATGATACAAACTGGAAATGCTTTCTAGACACAATACAGGTATAGATTTGCTCTAGCAGATAAGACAGGAGTATAAATCATCATTCTCCATTGTGTCTCTCACTGAAACAGCATTAGAAATGCATATGCCGTGTCCTAGCTAGACATCTTCTAAAACTTATGCCAAAAGCAACTATCTTTAAGCAAGGCCGAACATGATACTGTTAGTCATAACACACCACTTCATCTGTGGTAATGAAGTCATCTGACCAGATAATAGTCTCATAACATTTTGTACTGACTAAGTGACTCTTGCAGTGAGATTAACTTATACAACAGACACAGTTAATACTGGTAAAACAATAATTTCAGACACAGACTTCTGCTGCCACAGAAATGTTAGACAACAAATGGAAAACCCAACTCTGTATCTAAAAAATACTTCTGTAATAGGAAAAATATCTACAGTAACTCTGGTTTGAATACGACAAATCATCCAAACAACTGCTGCAATTGAGCAGCTTATCATTTTCATAAACTCAAAGGTAACTCAAAAGTCTCTAGAACCAGCAACTCCATTGTGTAGAAACTGACTTATTTTCACACAGACCCCTACAATGCACTAAGATTTCCATCTCTAAAGAAAACATGGGAACTTGAATGTCCTTGGGATATGCACTGGGGGGAGACAACCTTGTATCTGTGCAGTCAGCTCTTGCTCTCATTCCCCTCTGCTAATACAGCTAAAAGTAGAAATAACTCTTTTGGTATTCTTTTGAGTGTAAAGCGTGACTGTAATCTCTGCAAGTCTAATGTGTGGCCATAAACATATTAAAAGGTCAAGCAGAGTCAATAAAATGACAAAAGATTAGATTAACAGTGTATCTCAATATTTAAAATATGGTCTTATATCCTATATGTCAGAGCTGTCTGACTATTTACATAACAGCTAAGTATGCAGAGGTTGTAGTGAAACTGGACTCAATGGGAAGTATCATCAGAAGATTTACAGGCAAAGAAGGTTGAAAATGAACTACAGGAAGTCTCTGATAAACCAGGTGCTAAACATAGAATCCTTGCTTGGTTCTTCAAACACAGTCTGACCTTCCTTTCTTAAAAATAATGCCATCCTTTCACTCACAATGGAGTGGAGAAACCAAGCTTCACCTCTTGGATACCTTCTCTTTCCTAAAATAGGACTCTGTCCTGTGACATGATGCCCAATGTTCTGGTGGGAGCTGGCACCTGCTTGGGCAGCTCTGCAGATTTTAGTTGGTTTTCTCTACTGTGAAAAGGAGCCTGGATCTCTGCCCATGCTTATTTTTATCAGTAAGGTCTGAGTTTTGTACGTATTCTGTTCTTCAAATGCTGTCATTACTTTCTTTAGCTATGAGCCATCATGGTAACTACGTATGTAGGATAATGGAGATATCCAGTTTAAAAATTCTGAGGTGTTTCAGCTTAACAGATGTCTATGATAATAGATGTCTGTATTTCTAATCAAGCATGACTTTCTACCGTTCTCATGCAAAAGTTATATGCAACTTCTACATTGCAACTGTTGCACATTTGTGATGGAAGAATATGTTGATTGACTTTCATACGATCATTACATGGTCATGCAACTTTGACAAGCGTTCCTAAGAGGCTGTTCTGCTTCAGCAAAAATATGCATTAATTACACCTCTTTCCTAACAGGAAGGAGCAAATGAGAGCATAGAATACAGTGAATGCATTTCTTTCAGACCACTCATTGTTGTGTCCGCAGACTGATTAAAGCCAATTAAACATATGATAGAAAACAGCCATTATGAAAGTGAGAAGGTTCAACCTCTGATGCCATACCACCAACATCTGCTTCTGATGTTGTGGGCTGACTTAATAAAATAGGAGGCATTACTTTTTCAGCAGCACTTGTAATAGAATCACTGTGTACCACTAGTATTCGTACAAAGATTTTTATTTATTACTTTTTTTACTTAAAGCTTAAGTCTAAAATAAGCACTACCTGTATTCTCGAGGAATTGAAGAGGGGGGGGAAGCAACAACTAACCACGCCATAGTAGTAAAACAACTGCAGCAGGACTGGATATTTATACATTTCCCTAATATGGTACAGGGAACATTCCCTAGCAGTGATAAGAATAGATGGCATCTGATTCAGATGTTAAACTAGAAGCTTGGAAATACTGGTTTTACAGGTTTCCTATATTATCTGTGCAAATCACTTTTATGTCATATGGAATTAGACTCACCAGACAAGACACAATACACTCTAGTAAGAGTTTAAGGCACTGAGAAACATCTTACTTAGCTTTCTTAAAAGGACAATGGTTCTTAACAATTATGAAACTTCTCACTTGAACAATATGAGTCTGAGCTCTTTGAAAGATGACCAGAAAGAAGAAATGGGAGTGCTGCAAATGGTATTACATTGATGCTTCAGGGACTTTCTACTCACAGTTTTCTTGCCTCTCTCAACCAGGTAGCTTCAAAAGAGATCAAAACTTGCTGTGCCAGGCTCACACTTGCTGAAAGAGGTGAGTATTTTATGTTGTCCATAGGCTTTGGAGATCAAAGCCTCACTGCATCTAGGTGCAGTAAGCACATAATAAGAGACAATTCCTGCCTTGTTTATAATCCAAACAGAATAAACAGTCACAAGAGAAATAGGGGAAGGATCAGAAGTAACTTGCCTAAAGCCAAACAGCAGATTCAAAGGAAGAGATGAAGGTAGAATCCAGACCTTGCCAAAGCACTGAACAGGCAAATCTTGTGGATAAAGGGAAAAGATGCTGGTTCTTATAGTTCTTGAAATATTTCTTCTGAGAAGTGTCAGAAAGGTACAGGAGAGATATTAGGGAAGGGAAGAAAGAAACAGGAAAAGTTTGGGAGAAAACAAATGAAGTTAACAGAGGTGGGAATACATTGTTCCCTGTCCTCCTGGAAGATGTTTCTGTGATTTATGTGATCTAATCAAGAATTCTAAAACTGAAATTATAAATGAGACTGTGCATGTTTTTCTGCTTTCTCTGCATGTGATGACCTGATTTATATTAAAAAAAAAATTAGGCTGTGGAAAATTTGTTTGGCTTCCACTTTTATACAAGTATACCTGGATACTAGATGGCCTATGGCTATAAATGTGTTAAAACTTAATGATTTTAGGGTTAGAAAAGCATAAGAGTAACAGTAGGTATTGGAAACTAGATACTCTTTGGGAGCTAATGTACTTGGCAAAGTCAGGAGTCTTCTGGAGTGTTGGCCTTTGTTGATACCCTTGAAAACAAACCTGTCTTATAGAAATGGGTTTGGTTAATTTGTCATTGGGCCCACCAACGAAAAGAATACTCTTAAGAAATGTAATGCAGTAAAGCAGTGGGCAGGTGAAAAAGATCTGTAACAAGGCAGCAAAAATTATCTTTGCAAGAGAGCAGTGATAGCCTGATGTGCTTTTTTTGTTTGTTTTTTAATCTCAAGTCTCCAAGCCCATGGCATCTGGAACACACTGCAAATAAGAGCATAGAAGCAAATGCTTTGAGGATAATCTTTCTTTTTGTGTCAGGAGCTTCAAACACACTGTAAAAGTGTGCAAATCCATGCATGATATCTTCCTTTCTAAAACCGAATGTCTCTTGGGTACCGCCCACCCCAATCTCAGCAGTTCCTTCTGGTAACGTGCCATGAGAAACTGCTCCTCCAACTCAGTTCTTTTCAGCAAAGCCAGCAACAATGCAGATCTGCTCTCTTATGGAACTTATAGCTTCAGATTGAATGAACACAAATCAAACCATTATTAGAAATAATGAGTGAAAATTAGCCAGACAACCAGCAACTGTATTGAGAGAAATATCGGAACTGTTGGTACATTCCACAAGATAAAATGAATAGAAAAGCCAGTAATGAAAGCATTTTGCAGAACACTGTAGTCTGTTGAACTGTCTGTCTACTGTTTGGAATAGTGGAATTCACATTTTCAAACACAAAAATATCTAACAACAGATCACAGACTGGAAAATTCAAATGTGATGTTATTCAGGAAGAAAAATTTATTCAGCTAGAATGCAAATGTGTCTTAATTCCTCCTGAATCCATGCATCCTTTATAAAGCTACAAAAAGAGCTCTGGTATTTTGTTTGATTTTGCAAGGTAGCATTTAAAAAGTCTAGAGGGGAAAATGACATGGCCATCACTAGGGCTGAACAGGAGGTGGAATTCAGTCTTGCTTATTATACGCTCATACAGAAAGCTTCAAATCTTGTTTTCTAGATAACCCCTTATTCCACACACTGAGTGACAGCTAGATTCACATCATTTCACCTTACTTCATGATGGTAGGGGAAACACACACCTTCCAGATCAGATCATAAGGAACTCTTTATAATTCTGCATGACTGTAACTATTCAGAATAATGACGTTCTTATTCTGTTAATAATTACAGGTTTGTCAGCTGTTAACAATCAATTTGTTACCTGAAGTTGAAATGATAACCAATTCCTGTTCTGGAATCCAGATCAGAATCAATGTACTTATTTTTCATGTTACTGGAATTTGTGATAGCTGTAGGAGATGTACTGTTCCTAAGCATTAAAGCAAACAAAGCTAATGCAGGGTGTGGGGATATATTTCAGCTAAGGTCAGCTGGCATTCTTTGGCTGGCTAAAATACTTCTTGAACAGCCTATAAACGCATTTGAAAGTTATTAAAAATTAAATTCACACTTATTTTCACATCCCTCTTGCCTCAGGGTTGGTTCAAAATAGCCTTTGAAACAAATGAGTATTACATTCTTTAAATTAAGAAACTCTTTTAACCACTATACTGCCTTACAGAATTTGCCTGTGATTGCTGTTTTGTTTGTAGATGCATGTTATTCTGAAGGAAGGGAGAGAAAGATGTAATTCTTAATAGAAAGATTGACCTACCTTCTTAAGTTCTTCAGAAGAAAGCACACTGTAAGTCAGGGATGTGCTCTCTGTAGCAGAAAGAAGAACGAAGTGATCTGTAGAGTTCAGAGTGACTTCAGTGTGATTCCAGCTGCTTCACTTGGCTACTGCCTTCCTCTTAATAAAGCTGCAGAATGATATAACACTGTTTGTTTTCAGCTGTGAGGAAGTTGTTTCCAACTTCCCTTGGTTTGCTAAACCCAGTTTTGAAATATTGCCCTTCTGTATAATCCCAGTATTTCACCAAAATAAATGTTAGACATGTGAATGAATCATTCTGGCCGGTGTCCAAGCAAGCAACAGATGTGGTGGCTGATGAATGGAAATGGACTTTACAGTTGCAGGCTGCTTTTTGTTATGTAGAGGAGGATTTCAACAGTACTACTTTGTTTCTGACCACTCTGGTTTATAGAAAATAATGTTGAATGAGCAGAAAGATGCTTAAGAAGCTACACTGAAAGCATCGTTTGTTAACTGTATGGTGAGATACCTTCAGTTTGTGTTTATGATTATTAATCTCTTTTTGTATGCAAGAGAAAAGTGAACTTTTCAAAGTGTGAGTTACTAGCCCTCTTGCCCACCAGTCAGTGTAATTCTATGGTCAGACACTTGAACTGGGCTTTGGGAGACTTGGCTTGCATTCCAGCTCTGTCAAGAGGCTGCTTAGTGTTTGTGGTCAGCACTCATGCTCTCCATATACCTCAGCCTCTCAGCCAGTAAAATGGGAATATTATTCTCCTGGTATTTTCATACCATAGCTTCACCTGACTTTGATGGTACTGCGTTCATCATACCATTTTAAATCAGCTCTTGGTCTGTCAGTCTGCCTTTATCAAAAACTAAATGTTCTAGAGGAAGGAATAATCTTAACAGCTGTACTCATTTGTGACTAATGCAAGACACCTAAAATGTTCAACTGACTGAATTCAATCAATTGCAAATCTTCCAGGTATCAACTCTATTAATTCCAGTAAAAACAAATAAAAAATGAAAAGAGGGAATTACGTAGTGAGAAGAAGCAAGACTGAAATTTCAGTCGATAAGATTATCAATTTTAAGCACTACTGTTATGGCTCACAAGTTACAGAATCTATCAGGAGCCAGAAATTCCTTCCAGCAAAACAATCAGCTTTGTCTTTCTTCCACATCAGCTCTTCTTGTTCTGCCAGTATAACATAAAATGCTGATAGCTTGTATGAAGAGGAAAAAGCTACGGGTGAAAGAAGGATGGAGATTCTGTTACAGCAGGACAGAGTCTGGACCTGGAGAAAATGATGGTGGTGGGACATAATACCTGCAAATGTCTGACAGATAGCTGGGTTACCCGAAGAGAGCAGGAAGATTTCAGAAGACCTCATGATTTGGCACCTCATTTGTGTATTTCTTGATGTTTAAATTTCTTATTTCTTCTAGGTAACTGATAGGTGAATCTTAGCTGATAAAGAGCTCTTTTCATAGCAGTTCTTTTGTAAATATTGGGATAGGGTGCATACAGGCACCATTTAACTGCAGATCTGCAGAGTATTTTGCTTGTAATAGTATGAGTCAATCTCTGTAGGTACTTTTTCAGATCCAGTTATTATGAGGCAATTAATTCATAGGACTCCAAAGCACTATTTGAGTAAGACGAGAGAAAATTGCTGGGTAGAAACGTTCACATACAATCTGCGCTGAAAGACAAACCTCAGCAAGCAAAGTAGAATTACATACACGTCAATTGCTCTTCACCTTCTTGGTGCAGGGAGTATTCTGATGAGTGCAATGGTTTCTATTAGTTTGAGATGGTGAACGGTTGTCTATAAGAGGCTGTTTCCTTCACCATAAACTGAAGCTGATGGGGACTGCTCTAACATGTACTGAGTAGACAGTTCAACTGTTTCATCCTTCTGAAGCATGGGAGGATTAAAATCCACACAGCAATTTTCTTCACCCTGCTTGTCATAGTGGAAAACATGAAATCACAGCTGCAAAGGATCCAGAAGAAATTTTGTGGAGACAATTTTTCATGGAAAAGGAGGGCTTTTTTTCCTCACTAGGAAGAGCAAGTCACAGCATTTCAAAGACATTTTTTCTGCCAGTATGTTTTACCTACTTTTTCTCCTTTTAAATTGAAAAGGACTTTTGCACTGATGAACAATTACCAAATTTGCACTGTATGACCTGCACACGCAATGTGTCTGTGAGCAAAAAAATAGAGAATAGGATTTTGCAGACAAACTTCCACTTAATTTGAAAAGATTTTGTTTTGTTTGTTTTCTGTTTGGAGCTAAATATATCACTTCATTCTTCTACAGTTTTGATCTACCACAGAGGGAATCTTACATCCCTGAGGAATGTAAGCTTGGTTCCTGCAACCACCTATGTTTAAATTCCTTCTGTGCTGAGTAAAAATTGGAATGGTGAGTCCAACACTTTTGCATATGCAACACATTAGCCATCAATATCGTTTCACCAGTGTGATCTTTTCAAATAATTTTTGAATGCTGTATGCTGGGAAGAAAGTAAGTGAAAAAAAATTACCCCTTGTTTGCATTATTTTCCAACATGGAAGTTGTTTCTATTTCGTTGTGTCAGTTTTGCCTTTTCAACAGGGTAAGTTAATGAAGTTTGGAGTTTTTATGCTACATTTGGATAAGTGTAGGACTTCATGAAGGACTTTCAGAGCATAGAACTAGTAATTTAAATCTGATAAAAAAGAATAAGGGAGAACATTTTCATACGAGTAACAGATTTGGAGTTGAACAGCTGTGCAAAAAAAAAAAAAGCAAATGCATCTTAAAACACTTCAGAATTTTTCTTTAAAAACAAACAGACAAAAAAAAGCAGTGTGTAGAACAAAAACAGCATGTATGGAAGAAAAAAAACGTGGAGAAGCCTTCGAAAGTGCCTTACCAATATTAACCAAAGTACAAATTAACAAAACCAAAACAGCTTTAATTTACTAGACTTACAAATAACTGCCTGATAGTTGTGACTACTTTCACTTTGTGACTACTATTCCCACCCCCAGGACCACCAGTTATCAAGCTGTATATTAATATGAGCAGATAATATCAGCACTGAAGAACACATCAGACTAAATCCAAAGTGTATAAAATCAGTTGCATTAATCGTGAATTTGTAAATTCAGTCTAACAAAAGATATTTGTTTTTCCCAGAGTTAATTTAAGCTGAACAACAAGAAATAAGCTACTTACTTTTTAAGGATTGAGATATTTGGAGTTCAGTTTGTTTCATTTTTAATTATTCACTATTCCTTTGTGCTCATTGTTTGAATTAACACCTCACCAATACAAATCCACTCTGGAAAGACTGAAATTAACCACCTGACAATCAGGAAAAGAGTAATTTCCTTCCTTTCTGTGAAACTAATGACTATTCATGCCTATCCTTTCCGTGAAGGTGCAATGTTTGCTTGTAGCATAATTGCCCACTATGTACCATAGTCAGTAACTACAACAACATTCTCCAGCATTTAGACCAAACAACCTGATGGAGGGAGGTTTGGCTTTTAGCAGATCCACATCCTCTTTATATGCAGATATTGGAATCTGAAGACTTTCATGTATAAAGTGTTGGAAAAAAAGCACACAATGCGCAAAAAAACACACAAGCACAGAAACAAATGAGACTATGTATGAATATATATCTATATGCATGCAAGTTTGAACAAGATCTTTAAAAGCAGCACTTTATGCAACTCCTGCAAACAAAACAAACAAAGATTTATGATGAATATTGGACACTCATTTACAAGGAAGTGAAAGAAAAGCACAGAGAGGAACCTGAGCCATACTTCTTCAGGATTTTAGCTACCTCTATCCACTTGGATCCAAGCCACCAGTATGAATGCCTACACCTACTCTTTCAAATAAGTCTTTTTTTCTGTTTAAAGCCTAAGTTCTGAGGGTTCAGTCATCCATCTTTTATACACCAGCCCTTTGATTAAGCTCCCAAATCCACAGTTCTGCTGGGATTATATCCTGGTGTTGCACACAACAGACATAACTCTGACCCAGGAGGTCATTTAAGTTTCGTCTTCTGCAATCATCCATAACAATTCACAGCTAAATTGTTAAAATTTGTCACGATGATTAACAATGCAGAAATCAAGCAGGATCATAAGGAGGAGAGGATGAGTGCCAGTTCCTCATTAGCCTCCCATTAGGCTATTTCTCTCAGCTACTGCAATAGATGTGACAGAGCTGCTCTGAAACACAAGCAAACTGCAATTGGTAATTAAAAAGTAGTTCTCATCACATGCAGAATACAGATAGCAAAGCTGAGGTTTGATAGAAAATTAAGGACAGCTCCCTGAAAATAGAACAGGCAAGGTGCCTATATAGGACATACAGGTTATCACTGCTGCTTTGTGGCATTACTCCTCAAAATCTTAACAAAGAGAAATACGTAGGCACGTGTGGAACAGAGAAGGTTACTCTCTACAGCTGTTGACATTCCTTAGGACTTATGGACACACAAAGGCTTTAAACTGGACAGTAGAACCTTATATATAAATGGAGAATGGATCCTGAACACCAGTGCAAAGCCATGGCAAATATAGTCCAAACCAAGCCCCAGTAAAGCCTAATCACAACTGTGGATCCTCTCAGACGCTGCCGTCGGTGTATTCAGCACACACACATTTGTATATTTAAAGTTGCTTTTTCCATTTGTCAGATTGTTTTTCTGCATGGTGGATGTAAATACTTTTTGTGAAAGGTGCCAGCTGCCCTTGACTTCATGGGTATCAAAGTTATTTTTCCACAGCAATGAACGTGAGACTTAAGAGAAGGAATGTAAGCTCTTGGTCGCTGTTCTGGATTTGCCCTCTCCTCTGATTGCTGTCAAAGGAGAGAGCGTAACTTCGCTTCTAAAGCCTACCCAGCTCTCCGCCTCTCTCAGGAAAAGGGAGCAGAGAAACCCGAGCTTGATACAAAATGGCAAGGCCATTACTGGTTGAATACTGCTCTGTCAGAACATTTCCGTGCTGTGTATTGCCTATCTCTCAAGTTTCCAGGAAAAGCATACTGGTGGTATGGCAGTGACGGTTCAGTCTTCCCACCAGTATTCTGTTCCTTTGTTGCAATGTGACAGATGGCAGCAGAGGGGCAGTCTGACAAAATG